TACACAGCCATGAAAAGAATGTTACATGTCTCTTAGTCTGTGCTCTGCTCCTACAGACGAGACTGCAGATGGGGTAAGTTATAAAACAGAGCATCTGAGGAAAGGAGCTACATCTGGTGTTGGGCTTCTTGCTGACCAAGGCCACAAATAGTGCTGGCATCAGATGATAGGAGACAGAAGGCTCCAAGAGACTTCGTTAAGAGACCACACCACTAACCCAGTGAGTGATTAATCTTTTAAATGTTTTTTTATTTTTTTTAAATTTTCCTTTGAGACATTTAATTGAAAATTTTTATATAATATATTTATACTTTAAAAAAGAAAGAAAGGGGCTGGAGAGTCTGCTCTTCCAGAGGTCCTGAGCTCAATTTCTAGCAACCACAGCAGATGGCTCACAACCATCTATAATGAGATCTGGTGCCCTCCTCTGGTGTGCAGATGAACATGCAGGCAGAATACTGTACATATAATAAATAAATAAATAAATAAATAAATAAATAAATAAATAACATTTTTTTAAAGAAAGAAGACAAAACAAAAAAGAAAACAGAAACAACAACAACAAAAATAAAAACACACATAAAAAAAAAACATGGAGTTTATTGTGTTGGTCAATTACTCATAAGCATGGTGTCTGTCCTGGAGTATGGTTGATATCGCTATGACATTCCACTGGAAAAAAACTCATTTTGCCTTTCTTAGCAGTTATCAATTACAAATAGCTTCTTGGCTAGGCATAGGACTTTGTGTCCACTTCCTTTTTTCAGTGCTGAGATTTTGTGTGGTTAACTATTAAATTATTATTATTATTTTTAATTAGCTGGGCACAAGCCTTTAATCCCAGCAGTCAGGAGGCAGAGGCAGGTGGATCTCTGTGAGTTTCAGGCCAGGACAGCCAGAGCTACAGAAAGGCTTTGTATCTAAATAAATAAATGAAATTAATTGTTGTGTGTGTTCATGGAGGAATACATATGCCATGACGTATGTGTGTGTGTAGAGGAGGGAGTCAGAGAAAAACTGTGGTGTAAGTTCTTTCCTTCCACATTCACATAGGTTCTAGGACTTGAACTCAGGTTGGCAGGCTCAAATATCAGTGTTTTTACCCATTTAGCCATCTTATCAATACATATTAATCTACTTTTTGGGAGCACAGCTTTAACCCACTTTTACTACTACTGAGGATTGACTCAGGGTCTACCATTGAGCCACATCCTCAGCTCCCCCATAAGACTTTATAATGAGGGCACAAACCTCAAGAACATATAACAAATTGGGCATGAGGACACATACCATTACTCCCCGCACTCAGGAGGCAGAGACAGGTGGAGCTCTGTGAATCTGAGGCCAGCCTGGTCTCAGATAGTCAGGACAGCCAGGGCTATGTAGAGAAACCCTGTCTTAAAAAAAGAATGAAAGGAAAGAAGGAAGAAAGGAAGGAAGGAAGGAAGGAAGGGAAGAAAAGAAGGGCATGGTGGAGCTTGCCTTTAACCCCAGCACTCTGGAGGCAGATCTCTGAGTTTGAGGCCAGCCTAATGTACAAAATGATTCTAGTGAAAGCCAGGACTACAAAGAGAAACCTTGTATTGGAAAACAAAAAAAGCAAAAAAACAAAAAAAACAAAAAAACAAAACAAAAAAAAAAAAAAGGAAGGAAGGATATATAAAAAGCTAGACTTGTTGGGGCAGTCATTTCAGCCCTTGGAAATTTGGAGGCAGGAGTTCAAGGTCGGCCTCCATTATGCAACCAGTTCTAGGCCAGTTGGGAGTACATAAGATATACCTAAACAACACAAAGATACAAGAAAGGGGGTAGAAAGATGGCTCAGAAGTTAAGAATATTTCCTGTTCTTCCAGAAGATCTGAGTTTGGCTCTCAGCATCTGTGTTGGGTGGCTCACAAGCAACTGTAATTCCAGGTCCAGGGTGTCTGAAATCTTCTTCTGGCTCCCAAGGGCATCTGTACACACATGGTTTACACACACACACACACACACACACACACACACACACACACACACCTTTTTTTTTTTTTTCAATTCTTGTAAAGAAATAAAACAGGGCTGGAGAGATGGCTCAGTGGTTAAGAGCACTGTCTGCGCTTCCAGAGGTTCTGAGTTTAATGCCCAGCAACCACATGGTGGCTCACAGCCATCTATAGATCTGATGCCCTCTTCTGACATGCAAGTGACCTACAGATAGAGTATTCATACATGTAAAATAAATAAATAATTCTTTTAAAAAAAATAAAACAAAATCCACAACACATCATACAAACAAAAGAAGCCAGACACAAAAGGCTTTATAGGGTGGGCTTCACCTTCCATGAACAGTGCAGGGTAGCTAAATGCATACTGATGGAAACACAAGCAGGGAATTTCTATTAGGGGTAATGAAAAGTCATAGGCTAGGTAAGTGTGGCGATGGCACATGTCATGAATATACAAAATGCCACTGAATACCGAATGTTAAAGTGATTAAGTCTATGTTCGGTGACTTCTATCCGAATTAAAAAGAAAAGAAAGAGGGCCAGTGGGATGGCTCAGCAGAGAAAGGCACCTGACACCATGTGCCTTGATGATTTGAGTTCAATCCCTGGGATCCACAAGGGGGAGAGAACAAACTCCTATAAGATGTCCTTGATGTTTACACACGTGCCATTGCACCTCTGTGCTCCTCCCCACCAGTTAAGTAACTGCCTGTAGTGACACACACCTTTCACACCAGCGCTCAGGAGGCAGGGGCAGGTAGATCTCTGTGAATGTGGATCCAGCCAGGTATACATGGTAAGTTCCAGGCTATACAGAGCTACATGGTGAGACCCTCCCTCAAAAAAAAAAAAAAAAAAAAAAAGGTAATTTAAAAAATTTTAAAAGGAAGGCCAGACATGGCAGATCTTAGTGAGATTGAAGACAGCCTGGTTGACAAAGAAAGTCCAGGACAGCCAGGGCTATTCACAGAGAAATCCTATTTCATAAAACCAAAATAAAATAAAATAAAACAGAAACAGAATGCTGGAGCTGCATCTCGGTTGGTAAATTGCGGCCTAGCATGCATGGGGCCCTGGGTTCCATCCCAACCCTGAATGAATTAGGCATCCCTGGTATCCAAAAAAAAATCACAAGTTCATAGTCATCCTCAGCTACATGGTGAACTTGAGGCCAGCCTAGGCTACATGAGGGGAAACAAAAAGGAAAGAAAAGAAAAGAAAACTAGCCACAAAGTGGTGGTAACACCTTTAATCCCAGCATTCAAGAGACAGAGGCAGGCAGAGCTCTGAGTTTGAGGCCAGCATACAGAGAAACCCTGACTTGATAAACCAGTCAACTCACACACACCCCCACCAGCCAAAAAAAGAAAGAAAGAGAAAAGGGGGGAAATGCTGAAGAAGAAGGGAATAGGATTTAGAGTCCTGATTCCTTAGAGAAAGATGGAGAAATGAACCAAACATGAGGGTACTATGATTGAACAAAGTTCAAAAAGAAAATGGCAGCTGGCTTTTATTACTATTGTTTGTTGTTGTTTTGTTTTTTTTCGAGACAGGGTTTCTCTGTGTAGCCCTGGCTGTCCTGGACTCACTTTGTAGACCAGGCTGGCCTTGCACTCACAGAGATCCTCCTACCTCTGCCTCCAGAGTGCTGAGATTAAAGGCTTGTGCCACGACGATTGGCTTTATCATTATTGTTAGTTACTGCTTTTATTTATTTATTTTGCATGTGCCATGTGTGGGAGCCAGTTCTCTATATCATGTTTGTTGCAGAGACTTATATCATGTGTGAGATCCTCCATCAGGCTTAGCAGCAGGTGTCTTTTTTTTATCTTCTGTCGTCTGACTGGCAATTTATCATTATTATTATTACTGTTATTATTATCAGTTTTTTTGAGGGAGGTTTTCTATGTAGTTCTGGCTGTCTCGGAACTCACTTTGTAGACTAGGCTGGCATCAAGCTCAAAGATTTGGCTGCCTCTGCCTCCTGAGTTCTTGAATTAAAAGAGTACACCCCTACTGCTACACTTCCCATTTATTATTTTTATCATTAGCATTATTTCATTGGTGTGGGGGTGTGTGGCCATGTATCAACCATGTGAGTGCACACATGTAAGTTGAGGCTAGAGGAGATGTCAGGTGTTTCTTTTACCAGCTCTGTTTTTACCTTCTGGGTATCTTCATTGGGATGGAAGCTTGTTCTTCTTTAGGATAGGCATGCTTTTAGGTGCTCTGTCTCTGACTCTCAGTGCAGCAGTTGTGGGCACAAAAAGCCATGCCTGTGTGGTGTGCTGGGCATTCAAACCCAGATTCTCATGTTTACATAACAAGCCATCTCAATCCCAGCACTGGGAAAGCAGAGGCAGGAGAAGCTTGGATTTGAGGCCAGTGTAGGCTATGTAATAAGAGCCTGTCTCAGAAAAAAAAAAAAAAAAAAAAAAAAAAAAAAAGTAGCTGCTTATGGGAATAGGGATTTGAGATGGGAATCTCATCACCACTATCCTCTTTCCCACTCACACCCTGTCCATTTTGGGGAACTCTGTCAAAACAGAAAAAGAAAGGATAAAGGGAAGGACGTGGGGTGGGGTCATCAAGATCCCACATTAAGCAACCCAAACAAAGATTGAACCCAGAAAGCAGAAATTCAGAACTGACAACCAGCCTGGTGGTACAGGACTGTGATTCCAGCCACTTAGAAGACAGAAACAGGACAGGAAGATCACAAATTCAAGGTCAGCCTGGGCTATAGAAGAATCTAGAACTCAGAGACCTGAATTTGCAGGTAGGCAGTGTGGCTGGATTCCAGAAGTGACATGGAGGCATGCATTCCAGGAGGCTTTATTCAGTTTGTAGAGAGGTTAAAGTGCTGCGGAATTTGGCCATTGAACCTACAAGAGCTTTAGGAAGGAAGTTAGGGGCTCCCTGAAGCTAGGGTGCGGCTTTTACACATCTGAGACAGGAAGTGGTAGTTTGGGTGTCCTTCGGAAAGTGACTAATTAGACCTGAGGCCCAATCTCTCATATGCACTCAACCTGGACTTTGCCTCTGTGGGAATGTGGAGGCCTGCCTTCTCCTGCCACACCTGGAAAATGTATCAAGGAAGTTGAGGAAACTTGAAGGAGCTTGGAGAGGTGAGGGCCCTAAGGGGAACCCAGAGACTGGGAGGGGGAGGTGAAGAACGAAGAAAACAGACAAACATCAGTTTATTAGGGCTGAGAAAGATAGGGAAAAGTGCCCTGAGCAAGGGCTGGCCTCTATCGACCAGTCACAAAAGCAGGTGTCTTCAGCACCGTATACCTGAAGACTGCTTGCGGGCCTAGGAGACTGAGCTTCTCACTTCTACTGCAGAGCCCAGCAATGCCTGGTTACCTGTCCTTTCTGCCAGTCATCCTAGCTCTATGGGCTATGGCTGGCATCTGGATTGTGTAAGTAGCAGAGGCCCAAAGTATGCTTGGGTCTGAGAAAGGAGGGTTGGGGTCTAGACTATTGGGTGTGAAGAAGGGCTGGATTCCTGGGTCTGAGGGAGGAGGACTAGTGTCTGGACTCCTGGGTCTGAGGGAGGACAGCTGGGTTTTGGATGCCTGTTATGACAGTGGATGGGGGCCAGCAGTCCATTAATGCACTGAAGTGTTTCATTTGGTGAACAGAAAGGAAAGCTATCCTTTCTGTTACTGACTTCCTGTATCCCTCCCATCTCAGTTTCGCAATTGCTGTGGTTAACAAGAGTGTGGACCTTGAGAAAGGCTTCCCCTTTATCAGGTTGTTATGGCTGAGGGGGTGATGGGGAGGAAAACGGGGGTCCTGTCTCGAAGGAGCCAAAGGATGACCCTGTTATTCTTCTGCAGTTACTGTGGGTCTTACAGTCCCCAGAGCTGCATTTTCAGTCAAGTCCTCAATACAGGAGCTGCTTTAGGTAAGTATTTCCAGACCTTTCCTTTCAATGTCAGCCAAAAACGGCCTAAAGGGTCTTTAGCTCCCTCCTCCTTCTCCAAGTCAGAACAAATAGCTTCCCCACCCCCACCCCGCCAAAGCCAGAAACCTTCTTCCCTCAAACCACCAAGTTCAGGCCCCAGCCCTCCTCCCTCAGACTCAGGAGTCTAGAACCTTTAGCCCTTTTCTCTCAGACCCAGAGCCCATACCCCAGCCCTTCTACCCCAGACTCCAAAGTCCTGTACCTCCAAATCTCTCCTTCCCTTATCCTATCCCTCTCTCCGACACCAGCCTTTTTTGTTCTAAGTCCTCCCCTGCTTCTGGGAACCTTGTGGTGAATCTGAGTGTCGCTCATGTCCCTCTCTTAGCTGTTTGGATCTGCATTGTGCGTTATCACCAACTACGGGACTGGGGTGTCAAAAGGTGGCAAAACCAGCTGATTCTGTGGTCTGGGCTCTTCTGTGCCATGGGGACCTCCGTAGTAGGCAACTTCCAGGTGAGATGCGTAGGGAGCCAACTTGGGCTCAACCGCCGGAAACTGGACTACAATTTCCTATGTTTTTCTGCGGCTTCTTGTGGTCCTTTCTGTGGGCTCAGTTCGCAATGCTTTCTGGGATTTGTAGTTCTCTCTCTACCCTTGGACGGCAGAGGTCTTTGTGGACTGAAGCGTCTTGTACTCCCCTGTATCCTCAAAATCTTGTGGAACCCTTGGAGGTTGGGAGAATCTTATTGTAGCTACCATTCTCCATCTCATTTAATCATGAAATTAAATCATTGTGATCGGTACAATGGTTAAGTTTTCTTTCTATACAGAATGTCCACAGAACTGTGTAGTCTCCTTGGCTGTAGGTAGAGAGCAATCAGCTTGTCTGTGGGTGGTCAGAAATAACTGAGATTCATAGATTCTAGTCCTGGCACTCATGAAGCTCTGTAGATAATTTTAGAATGAATGAACTGACAAAGAATAAGAAAAATCTCACTGGTTTATTTTGTTACTGTAATTTTATGTTCTGTCTGATGTTTCAGCCTCTTGCTGAAAGATGGGGGGTTGGTGTGGTGCAGGGTGGAAAAGAGACCATAGGATGGTCAGACTGCCTCCACTGCCCACTGTTATTTTCTTAATTTATTTGCTTGCTCATTTATTCTTATGTACCTCAACCTATTGCTATATTGCTATTACATTCCTTTTTTTTTTTGCGATGGTCTCAAGTAGCCCAGGCTAATCTGGAACTCAGTATGTATTGGAGGATGGCTTAGAGCCTCCTGCCTCCACCTCCTGAGTTCTGGGATTACAGGCGAGCCCCACTCCTGCTTTTTTGTTGTTGTTTTGTTTTGTTTTATTACACTGGTGTTCTGCCTTCATGTGTGTCTGTGTGAGGGTGTCAGATCTCTTGCAACTGTAATTACAGACTGCCATGTGGTTGCTGGGAATTGAACTCAGGTCCTTTGGAAGAACAGCCAGTGCTCTTAACTACTGAGCCGTCTCTCCAGGCCCCCTACTCCTGTTTTATAGGAACCAAGCACTGTATGGACTGAGCTGTCTTCTCAGCCCCTATCATTAATTTGCTTTCTAAGGAACTTCCTTAGACCTTTCTCCAGTTTTCTTCTCCCTCCATGACTTTATTTGAGAAAATATGTTTATGTGTCTATGTTGACTTTGAATTTGCATTCCTCTTGTGTTGGTCTCCAGCACCCCTCAGTCTCTATCTGTTACAGGTATGGCTGGCATATCCAGCCCTCTACCCTGAACTCTCCAGCCCAGGGGAGGGGCCTCCTCTTCTCTAGAGACTCTTCTATATAATCCAGACATTTTGGCTCTCTCACTCTCTCTTTCTCTCTGCATGTCCTCTTTTCTCTCCTGTATGTGCCTCCTTCCCAGCTTTTCTGTCTCCCTCTGCATGGTGACTTTCCTGATCTGTGAGATCAGTGAATCTGCCTGATAGCTGGCCCACAATCAGCCTGCCTTTATATACTCTAATTTGGCTTGAATTGGCTTATTTTGTTGGTGGAGATAACCTCTCAGTATGAAAGTTGGTAATAGGGTGGCAGGTTATTTTTGTATGTGTGTGTGAGGGGGTAGGAGGGGGCAAGGAGGAAGTACATGCATGCTGAAGCATGTGGGTGGAGGACGTCTTTTAGGAGTTACAGCTCTTCTTCCTCTGTAGCCCCTGAAAGCATTTACCAGCTGAGTCATCCCACCAGCCCTGAATTTTGCATTTTCAATGACATCTGTTAGACTGGTTCAAAGTCTCTTCTTCCTATTGTTCTCTTCCCCCTGATGCAATTTTTTTTCTCTCAATTCTCCCTTTCCTCAGGAGAAGAATCAGAAGCCTGTACACCTGGCAGGGGCCTTTCTGGCTTTCGTCCTGGGCAACCTGTACTTCTGGTTGCAGGTCTTTCTGTCCTGGCAGATGAAGGGCCTGCCCCAACCTGGGCCCCGCTGGATTAAGCCTCTGCGAGCGAGCCTCTGCAGCTTGTCCACCATCCTCATCGTGGCCAGTATCCTTTCTGGGGTTGAGGACTGGTCAAAGGTGGCTTCTCTTTGGGCTTGTTCCCTTTGCTGTGAACCACAGTGGGTGTCCCTTCATGACTCTGGACCTGTGTCCATCCAGGATCACAGCTCCCTAGTGGAAAGTGGAAACCAGACATGGTGGCACATGTAATACTCATACTGGGGAGGGAGGATTATGAAGTCAAGGGCAGCCTGGGCTTTGTGGTAGGATTTTGTCTTAAAAACAAAACAATTGTAGCAGATAGCACTGACTTTGAGGCTAGTGTGGTTGCTCAGGAGCCTTGGTTTCTAAATATATTATGCAGGGGCACCTTCACTGGTTCCTTACATTCCTGAAGTACCCCAGTTTCCTCACTTATTAAATGCAAGTAGTTGAGGCTGGGGCAAAAGTATACCTATGAGCCTGGGCTGCACAGTGGGTTATGTCCTAAGAAAATGCAGATCGCTAACAAGCTGACCTCAGCGTTCTGACTTAAAAATAAGACTCTGACTGTGAGAATCTTAGACCTATGCCTGGCATGGAGCATGTGGCAAATAGGCATTAGAAGGTTCTGTTGATAATTGGTTGCTAGGGGAACCAGCCAGGCATGTCAAGCATCTTTCTGGGTGCTGAAAAGGTGCAGCAGGCTCAGACAAGGAAAGTCTCCTGGACAACGGCAAAGTCCTGGCTGGAAGTGGTATCAGGTTGCAGTGGGTTCTTTTTTTTTTCCTTTCTGTTTTTTTTTTTTTTTTTTTTTTTTTTTCAGTACATACATGCCTTTTTGTTTTGTTTTTCAAGACAGGGTTTTCCTGGAACTCGCTCTATAAACCATCTGATCTCGAATTCAGAGATCTAACTGCCTCTGCCTCTCTGAGTGCTGGGATTAAATGCCTGTGCCACTACTGCTCTGTGTAGCTCTGGATTTCCTGAAAACTCACTCTGAAGACCAGGCTGGTCTTGAACTTAGAGGTCTGCCTGTTTCTGCCACCCATGTGCTAGGATTAAAACATCCAGGGCTCTTAACCACTGAACCATCTCTGTAGGACTTGCCTGACACTTTTAAGCTTTGAAGCCCATGAATGGAGCCAGACTTGGTAAATGGTTGCAATGCTAGCACCAGGAATGCTGAGGCAGAGGGTCTTGAGTTCTGTGCCAGGGAGAACATCTGAAGAAGCTAAAAATATAACTCAATGGTAGAGAGCTTGCTTAGGAAAGGATCTGAGTTCAATATCTAGCTAGACCCCTCTCTATAGAACTGTATATTTTCCAAGTAACTTTAGGAAGATTCTTAGAGAAGAATAACTTATAGACGAATAAGAAAATTTACATCAAGCTGGGCATGGTGGTGCACAGCTTTAATCCCAGCACTCAGGCGGCAGAGACAGGGAATCTCTGTGAGTTTGAGGCCAGCCTGGTCTTCAGAGTGAGTCCAGTGTCTTGGGGAAAAAGTGAGTCCAGGACAGCCAAGGCTACACAAAGAAACCTTGTCTCAAAAAAGAGAGTCAAGAGAGAGAGAGAGAGAGAGAAGAAAAGGAAAGAAAGAAAGAAAGAAAGAAAGAAAGAAAGAAAGAAAGAAAGAAAGAAAGAAAAAGAAAAAGCATGCATAGAACGGTGGTGATGCATACCTTTAATCCCAGCACTTGGAGAGGCAGAGGCAGGTGGATATCTGAGCTGGAGACCAGCCTGGTCTACAGAGCAGTTCCAGAACAGCTAGGGATACCCAGGAAAATCCTGACTCAAACAAAACAAAAGAAAACAAAACAAAACAAAAAGGCATGCATTAGAAGGGCAAGAGAGCTAAGCAGGTAAATGTACCGAGGACCCTCATGGTGAAAGGATGAAATCTCTCCCCCAGGTTGGCCTCTGATCTCCACAGAGTACATGCATGAGGAAATTAATGAAAAGACATGTGAGCTGATAGACAATAACGAGAGAGGGAAACAAGGAAGAGGACACTGAGAGAGGTTTCAGCAAAAAGCATTGTCCCTTCTGGGTTGGATGCTGGAAGGTCAGAAAGCTGACAAGAAAAGTTTTTCTTTCTTTGCTCTTTTTTTTGGAGAAGATTGGGTCTCAATATGTAACCATGGCTGGTCTGGAACTCACTATTTAGGTCATGCTGGCCTCAGATTCACAGAGAACCCTTTGCTTCTGCATGAGGCACCATAACCAGCAAAAAAAAAAAAAAAAAAAAATGTTTTCAGGATTTGAATGAAGCCAGTTGAGTGAAGCAGTTGAGTGATGGGTAGAACAGACACCACAGAAGGTGACCCTCTAGGGACCGGGGAATTTCTAAGTATCAACTTGAATGGAGGGTAGGGTAGGCTCCCTTAGAAAGAAAAACAGACTTAGGGCAAGGAGGTCCAGTTCTGTTAATGAGTTAATATGGAGGTGGCTATGGGTCACAAAATAGGGGGAAACTTTAAATAGCCAGAGACTGGTGGGGACTGGGGATACATTTAAGAAGTTATGTCTCAGGGCTGGAGAGATGGCTCAGTAGTTAAGAGTACTCACTGGCTCCTCTTCCAGAGGAGCACCCACATGGCAGCTCACAGCAGTCTGTAACTCCAGGTCCGGGTGATCTGACACCCTCACGCAGACATACATGCAGGTAAAACACCAATGCACACAAAGATGATAAATTTTAAAAAGAAAGAAAAAGTATTTAAAAAAAAAAGTATGTCTCTGAGGCTGGGAATGTAGCTCAGTTGGTAGAATGCTTGCTTGCCTAGCACGCAGGAGGTTCATTCCCCAGTATTGAATAAATAGATTATGGTGGCACAGGCCTAGAACCCCAGCATTTGGGAAATGGATACAGGATTAGAATTTCAAGGTCATCTTTGGTTACATATCAATTTCAAGGCAACCAGGGCCTTTGTGACAGCCTGTCTCAAAATAAACCCAAACAAAGGGGGAGAAAAACCCAAGCAGCAACACATCTGGAGGTAGCAGGGATGGTATTTTTCTTGGACATGTTGGAGAGCAACAGGAGAGTCATTCTAGGATCAGGAAGGATCCACAGAAGACTCAGGAAAGTAGGTTTGGACATTGGTACTCCAGTGCTGATCAGTCACAGATGGAGAGAGGGCAAGGTTTGGAGGGCACTCACACTCAGGGTAACAGCTGGAATCCCTTTAAAGGGATGAGGATGAGGAGGGTGACTAGTCATGCCAGGACAGGGAGCACCTCATAGGACCAAAGACACATTTATTCCAGCCTGAAGCACCAGAACATGTAAGGTGGGCTGTCTGGGCTTCTGCACAAGCCGTGTGAGCCTTGACACTGGTGTGAAGTGATCATCCTGCACTCTCAGCGTTTGCGCTCTGCCTCAGCTGCCTGTGAATGGGCAGTGGCCATGCTGCTCTTTATACTATTTGGTCTCTTTGCCTCGGACTTCTCCAGCTTTCGAGGTTGCAGCCTGCACTTACAGCCTCGACTGGATTCCAGCTTCTCACAAGCTCCCTCCGAGTCTCCAAATATACAGATGGCATAGGTGCTCTGACTAGGCCCGGTAGAGGAAGAAAGATGGGACTAAGCCAGGCTCACTCAACAATGAACTGGAGTGGAGGCTGAGGTGGACAGCCTGACAGATAACACAGCAGAAAGGACTTGTGCTCGCCACTCAGAGAAGTGGGAACTTGGAACTACCTGTCCCTGTGCACAGAAACACCCTAGGAATTGAGAGGCCAAAGCCAGCCAGGTGTCCCTGATCAAGGCTATTTATTTTTTGTTGTTGTTGCCGCCGGCGGAATCAGACACAGACGCAGGCAGGATCACGCGAAACCAGAATTCCTTCCAGGAGAGCAAATCCGTACAGAAGGTCGCAGGGGAAGGGGAGAAGGACCTGGTGGGGAGGGAGCAGTGGCCCAGGGAGGGGAGTGGGCGTTGGGGATGACACAGAGACAGAGGGCCCTGTCCGGATCTGCTAAGCCACCCCCATCCCTCCCCCACCCCACCCACAGAGATCGATCAATAAATAAAATAATAAATTAATCAATAAATAAATAGAAACAGCTCCCGCCCCCTTTTTGCCCTAGAACCTCCCCCCATTGGGCAAGGCGCTTAGAGCCCTATCCCTGCAGGGCAAGGCCGAGTTTTGTGTCCCCCCTCTTTCCAACATACTTCTTGGGCCTTATATACAGATTCACAGTAGGGGGGGCAGGGAAGGGGGGTGGAGGGGGCTCCCCTCCTTCCCTGGCCCCCTGGGGTCAGGGTAGAGGAGTTCCATTGGTGGCCAGGAGCTTCTTGTCCTTAGGGGGTCCTCGGCGGGGAGAGCTGCTCAGATCAGGGTCAGGGCGGCCTGGTGGAGGCTGCAGACTTCGGGGTGGGGTGGCAGCAGGCCGCGTCTGGGCTCCGTTCTTCTCATCTGCAAAGGAGAAAGTAGTTTTGTATGGGCTGAGAGGCTGCTTACCATAGCCCCAAGCAGCCAAAATTGAGATGCTGAGCCCTTTTGCAGTGGCCCCACTTTCTGAAGTTGCTTTTGTGAGGCCTTTTGTTGCAGCAACCAGTACTCTAATCCTCCTGGGCACTGACACTTTGTTTTGAGAGGTGTTCTCTCAGTTAAAGAGTTTTTTCAGCATCCTTGGTTCCAACCCACATGTTGTCAATGACTTCCTGCCCTCCATGTGTGAGACAATCCAAGAGTCTCCACATACTGCCAAAGCCCCTCAGGGAGGCTGTAGTAGGTTGAATAACGGCATCCCCCATAGATGTTCACATCATGAAGTTGGGAACCTGTGAAAATGTCATGTGTTATGATTAAGGAAAATCCCTGTGGGTGGGGAGACTGCCTTGGATTATCTGGGTAGACCCAGTTTCATCACACAAGTTGTTAAATGAACCAGTAATGTCAGGGGCAGAACAGTGCTACTGGTTCTGGAGGATGCAGCCACAGGTGAAGGGAGGAGCTGCAAAGCAAGAGAGGACAGCTGTCAGGAAGACACCTTGACGTCAGCCTGAGCATCTCACCTCTAGGACAGGAGATGAAAACCTCCTGAGATGTGCAAAGTTGGTGGAGGGACCAACTTTGAGGTCATTTTCTAATGGCAGCCATAGGTAATGAACCCAAAGTCAAGAATAGCCCTGTCGCAAGTTAAATCACTAGTGTCCTCCAGTAGCTGCTATATTCATTGTTGGATTTTATTCACTTGGTCCCTTCTATAGGGAATGGAGTCAGAGGGATGCCAGGCTGATTTCACTAGGCTTCTTGTATACCTATCATGCTCCTTTCTTGCATCCTACAATAGAGCCCAGCCCATTTTTGTTTGTTCTGTTGGGTTTTTTCTTTTTGGTTTTGAGACAGGGTTTCTCTGTGTAGTCTTGACTGTCCTGGACTTCATTTGTAGACCAGGCTGGCCTTGAACTCACAGCAATCTGCCTCTGCCTACCTGAGTGCTGGGATTAAAGGTGTGCACCCCCATGACCTTGTAGAGCCCACTTTTTTAAGCAAACCCTTCATTCACTTAGAGCTCTCATCTTTTAGGTCTGGTTGCTGTGGCAAACACATCTTTACTACAGGCTAAATGTTGTGTCCCCTCTTCCTCCATAATTCATATGCTGAATCCATCATCCCTAAGTCAATGGGGCCTCTGGGAAATGGTTAGATCTTGAGGGTAGAGCCTCCATATATGGCATTAGCTACATCTGAGCTAATGCCCTGGTCAGTTTATGTTGTTCTCTTATGGAAATCTGAATGAACTACAACACCTCCCTGAAGCCTGGCCTCTCCTCTCGCCCCTGGATTCCAGATGAGAACTATGTCCTTCAAGGTCAATGGCTTTTGGGTCCTGCAAAGAGGGCCACCAGCCTATCCTATCTCCTGGTTTTAGCTTAAGCGTCATGCCCTGTCCCTCGTCCCAGGCACACCGGGATGACTGGTCACTCTCCCACAGGGCTCTGCAGCGCCATGTTCTATTGTTCACAACAGGGGCGCCCCTGTCCTCATAGGGCCTCTAGGTTGCTAAGGGATCCTTTTTGAGACCCCAGCCTCCCCAACAGTGCAGGTGAGGCCTCAGCAGGACAATGGCCAGAAAATCCAAGAAGTGGGCTAGCCTGCAAGTGGCAGAGAGACCGGAGCTTGCACCTGGTCACCCTTGAGGTATACCTACCACCAGCAGTTCCGTCACCCACCTGCCAAGGCCTGCACGGAAGGCTGGTCGTGCGTGCTCAGCAGCTGTGCCTGGATGGTCTCTACCACTCGCTTGAACCGACGGCTGGGACCTGGGGAAAGATGGGAGAACAGGAAACACAGGGACTCAGAATGAAAGCAGACAAGGTCACTACGTGAAGCAAGACTGTCCTCCTGGGCTGGAGAGATGGCTCAGAGATTAAGAGCACTGTCTGTGCTTCCAGATGTCATGAGTTCAATTCCAGGCAACCACATGATGGCTCACAACCATCTATACTGGGATCTAATGCCCTCTTCCAGCATGCAGGTGTACATGCAGATAGAACACTGAATACATAAAAAACAAAACCAAAAACCCGTCCTCCTTTAAGGGTTAATTTTCCTGACTCTGTTGGGCTCTGCATCGATAACTGATCCCCAAATGGATCTCCGTGTTGCACTTAGGAACACTATCACGCCTGGAGATCTTCATTTTAATATAACAGTAGCTGTTGGTTTCTATTTATATAGATATTGTTGCTCATTTAACTTTCCTTAAGGATGTGAAGGAAAAAAAATATAACAAAAATAAGTGAAGGGCTGGAGAGATGACCCAGTGGTTGAGATCACTGGCTGCTCTTCCAGAGGCCTTGAGTTTGATTTTCAGCACCACCATGATATCTTACAAATACCTGTTATTCTAGTCCCAAGGAACCTGATCCCTTCCTATGGCTTCATTGGGTACCAGGCACATGTGATGCAGATATACAGGAAGAAAAAAATACCTGCATACATAAGATAACTTTTTGTTATTTTGTCTTTTTTTTTTTTTTTCCAGAGCTGAGGACCGAACCCAGGGCCTTGCGCTTGCTAGGCAAGCGCTCTACCACTGAGCTAAATCCCCAACCCCAAGATAACTTTTTTAACATAGAAAAAAAAAGTGAAAGAAAAAAAAAACCCCACAGAAAACCTTGGACTGGCAAGATGGCTCAGTGGATAAATGCACTTGCTGCCAAGCCTGACAGTCTCTGGGATCTACAGGTTAAGAGAGAACTGATTCCCACAAATGTCCCTTTGACTGTCACATGACTGTTGTGTCACACATACGCACAGTGCAGCCTGATTTAGAAACTTGTAGAGCAAACTCATCTCCTGATCATAACATGTTAAAATTGATGACAAAGAAAGCACACACACACACAAACACACACACATATTTCCAATATTAAAACACAGGAGCTAATAATTAGAAGCAAGACATCCCTGTGTTTTTCCTCTTGATTGGTCATGGCTGCTTGGAGTTAAAATTTTGAGGCTGCAGCTAAGTTTAGGAAGAACTCCATGGAAAGACTGATGATGTCTGCTCTGGGTAGGGCACTGATACTTACACTTCTAAAAGAAGATGAAAAGGTGGCACAAAGTACTCTATAATTTTTTCCCTTTGTAGAAATGAGTGATTACTGATACCCACGAAGTAACTTTTCATTATACAGGCCCAGGGAAAGATAGAAAGGAAAGCACACAGGGGAAGGGGCGCACATTCTGTGCTCACTTCTTCTTCTTGCTGCCCTCCTGTGCTGGTATTCTAATTTAGAGATCTTGAATGCCCCGAGGCTGGTCAAGAGAGACTCACCAGAGATAAGGGTAAAGGTGACGGAGTAGATGCCACCTCCACTGCTGCCATCTCTCCGGGGCGAGGGCTCTGGACCCTCAGAGGAGCTGATGTCCACCTGGAAGCGGACAGGCTTCTGGAAGACGGAGGGGCCACCGCTGGCCTTGTACTCAGCCCTGAAGCTGGTCTGGGACAGCACGCTGTGACTCAGGCTGGGGATCTAGAGGGGAAGGGTATAAGGCACAGATTAACTATGCTACATCTGGCTCTGGACGAGGGACAAACCCGATCAGCCAGTGGGGTGAAAGAGTAACACCGGAGGCCTTGGGAGGACCCATTGCCCACTGGCACTTCCTCTGTGTCGTTCCTCTGCCCCACATTCAGAAGAATGAATCCTAAAAAATTCATGTTGTCTCTGATATCTATGGGATAGTCCCACGTTTCTGAACCATATGAAATACACTTTTCCCTTCCTTTACAAGTCACTTGTCTTAGCAACTGCAAATCTCATCAGCCCTACAACAATGGACTGTGGGACTGGTAATAAGCAGGAAGCGTTAAGAGCTACTGGGAAAGGTCTTTGCTTGTACCACCCTCAGATCTTGTGACAAGGCATGGCAGGCAACTCACTCATCTTCCACTGTTTCTCAGGAACTTGTTACTTTACCACTTCTAGGCTGTGGGCCCAATAGTATGTTCCTGCCTCCCTGTCCCAACTTTTGCTGGAAAACTACAAATGAGTCTCAGAAGGAAGTCAGGCCAGGGCGAGAGTGTTAGGGGGGTATAGCTTTGTAGTCCATAGGAATGCCAGGACTCTCACCGACAGAAAGGCATGGACAATGTCCGCTTTGATGCTGCTGAGAGGTTTGTCCTTTAGCACAAGGAATATTTGTTCTTCTTTGTCCAAGGAGATGAAGTTCCCAAACCAGGAGCGTTTTGCCAGCCTGAGTGGAAGGGGATAGAGGGAGGAGGGTCAGGAAGGCGCTAAGAGACGAGTCCTCTTGGTTCCCAATTAGTTCTTTCCCTTGTTGAACTCACTCGGGAGAGGATTCTGGTGTTAAACTGGACATCTCCTCAGCGGTGGGGACTGGTTAGGGATGGGAGAGAAAGTAGTCAACAATTATTTATTATTTATCATCTATGGCTTTCTCAGTTCAGTCATCTCCCAAATGGATAACCCTAACTCTAGTAGTCAGATCTGACCCTTTGGGATAGCCAGCATGGTTAGACCACAACCCTCAGGGTAGGGCGCAAGCCTGAATGAACCAATAAGTAGGCGATCCAGGACCTGTC